TTTTTTTTTTTTTTGAATAAATTGTAAATCTAGTCCTGTATGTTTCACTATCTTAATTTTTTCGTCCTTTTCGAATTGTGTTTTTGAATTTTGTTCCGTATGTTTGTAAAATGGTTACAAAAATATCACTTTTGCAACAAAAAGGTTCTTTATGTTTTGCGCAAAAAAAAAAATGTTTCAATTTCGACCCTTATGTATAAAAAGAACCTTTTTGTAAACATATGGGATGAAAATAAAAAAACGCAAATCGAAGAGGACGAAAAAGTTAGGGCAGTGAAACTTACATGACTAAAATTACAATTTACTTTTTTTTTTTTTTTTATTATGCTGGCTGAGAAGCTCCAAATGGAGACTATTAGTAATAGGCCATGCATGAATAAATAAATTCATTTGTTATATATTGAACACTACAACCTAATCTTTTTTTTTTTTTTTCTTTCTTCACTTAAATCATATGTATTAAAATTAATTATTACCCTGGTCATGGATGAACTTTCAGAATCATGAGTTTTCCTTTTCCACGAAGTGATTAGAAAAGTATGGTATCACTATCCAAGAAATAAAATCAAATATATATGGTTCCAACAAAAATCACCCACCTAAGAAATTAAACTATATAATATCATGTTATTTCTAATATACTGTTATTTTTTACCCACCTAAGAAATTAAACTATATAATATCATGTTATTTCTAATATAATGTTATTTTATAAAGTGAGAAAATGTTCAGCTACCAGTACAAGTACGTCTACCCTTCACATACCAATATTTTTCGATATAATATACTAGGAAGATGCACGTGCTACACACGTGATATTGTTTTTTTTTTTCAAATTATTTTTCGTATTAGGTTTATATTCAATAGTATAATATATTTTTCTTTCAATTAGTTTAATGAAAAATGGTGTACTTTATTGAATAATGAAATATAGTATTTAATACTATTAATTGAACTCTATAATAAATAAAATTAAATAAAAAAATAATTGGGTTGAAAACCCAAAACAAAATTAATATTTTTTAGGTGAAAAGTAATGCTAAAGAAATGTAAATTGTCTTATTTAATGATATCTTCATTGTGCTTAAAATAAAGATCACTATTATTGTCATCATAATATATTTTCTATGTCATCCTTTTACATCATACTCTTTGAAAAATAACTAAATTTTGTTATAATTATAATTTATAATTGTTATACCATAAATTCTCGAACCGCTGGACCGCTCCTCTCGAACCGGGTTGCGTCTCCTTGATCGTCGGTACCTGCAAAACACGCCGGGGGTGGTCCCGGCGCGAACACTCCGACGCTCAAGTCAGTGATGGTCTAGAGAGAAAACGGCAGAGTAACGAGATAGTTCGTGAAATGTGTGTTGTGTAAAATGAAAGAACCTGCTCCCTTTTATAGGAGAAATTTGGAGAGTCCCAGTGGGATAAGAAGTCCTCTCCGTATCAAACTCTCCATTAGGTTAAAAGGTCTTCTGAATCCTGAGAGTCCTTGTCACTACCAACTCCTCTGTAACTTAATCCCGAAGCCATCTTCGGGCTCTAGCCCCTTCGACGGCATGCGAGGGCCGCCGAACACACGAGGACAGCCGGGCACCTCCCTTGGCCGAGCACTCTCCAACGCCGGGCACTCGCCCACGCCTAACATTCACCCTACGCCGGGCACCCATCATACCGGACGATGCCGCGTCAGACACTCCATCCCGACCACCTCCAATGTCGAGCACTTGAGGGGCGCCGAACACCGTGCAACGCCGAGCACTCCCAACCGCCGACCACCATAATGCTTAACCGGTCCCCTTTATATGGACAATGATGACCGGATCACAACCGGTTCCTCACGAGCCAATACTAACGACCATATCAATAATGATAATTTTTTATTTATTGTCGATTGAAAGCTTACAAACTATGTTTGAATAATTCATTCTCAATTATTTTGATTACACTAGTTGCAAGTTTAATTATATTTGCAAGTATAATATTTCATAATACTTAGATAATATATAATTATTCCCTAGTCATAATGACATAGGAGTACATAAATATTTGAAAATGTCTTTAAAGTCGTAATTATTTCAAAAAGAAAATGTATTTGAAAATGCTAAGGAATAATAACATCTTTATTGATTAAAGGATACCCATCTATCTATATATCTTTTCCATAATAAATTATTACTGCATCTCATAACATTGTCATACATCCATTATCTTCATTCCCAAATTTCCAAGACTATCCTAAATGTGAATTAAATTTACTAATTCCAGTTTTAATGAATTATAAAATGATGATTCTTTTATATTTTTTATTTTTATCTTAAAATTATTTTTATATCTTCAGCAACATTTTATATAATTTATTTTCCCTACTTTTGTTTAAAATGATAATCATTAATATTGTCATCAAATATAGTTTTCTAATGTCATCATTTTGCATCATACTCTTTGAAAAATAACTCGAATTTGTTATAATTATTTTTTATAATGATCATTTTTTTTATTGACGATTGGAAGCTAAAACATTATGTTTTGAATAATTTGTTCTCAGTTATTTTGATTATAGTGGTTGCAAGTTTAGTTATATTTGCAAGTATAATATTTCATAATACCTAGATATATATAATCTTTCTCTAGTCATAATGACATAATAGATACATACAAATTTGTAACTGTCTTTAAAGTAATTATTTAAAAAAAATTACATTAAAAAGCTTAAGAATAATATCATCTTTATTGATTAAAGATATCCATATATCTATATATCATGTCCAACATAAGTTACTGTTTGCATCTCCTAAAATTGTCATCCATGCATTATCTTCGTTCACTGATTTTCAAGACTATCCTAAATGTGAAAATTTAATAGTCTAGTTTTAATGAATTATAAAATGATGATTCTTTTATATTTTTTTTTTTCTTAACATTATTCTTATATCTGGTCAATATTTTATGTAGTTTATTTTCCCTACTTTTGAGAAGTGATTTAAAACATTTAATTTATGAATGATTTTATAAATAAGATATGCTAAAGACAACAAATTTAAAGTAAATTTACTATTTATTTTTATTTAATTATTTTTAATTATAAGTATTTTCTAATAAATACACATATTATGAAATTCAAGATTTAAAATAGAATTTTAGTTATTTTATTTTATTTTTATAATTAATCTATTTTTGTTTGTATTAAAATTGAGTAAATGCTATTTTAAGTTATGTAACACATTATTATACAAGAACATTTATACTATACGTATTATTAACATGTAAACTTAAATCATATTATGCATATTATTTTAGTGAATAATTTAAACAAATATTTTTGTTAAGATCATATCTTTTTTACTTAACAAATAACTCTTTCCCATAGAAAGTTGACATTTTGTATGTTGAATAATTATTTTTGATTCAATCATTCTTAAACATATGCATGTTCACCAAATTGTTCCTCCTTAATTTTTTTAATACTATAACCAAAAATTTGTATGCTAAACAATATGATATTGAGAAATTAAAGATGATACTTTAATATAGTGGTGCATTATATATTTTACATTTATGAAATATCATATATTTTAAAAAATCTTAAAATATTTTTTTCTGTTACATTTTAAACTACCTTTAAATAACAATCGAAACCCAATGTCGTATGTAATTAATTCAGAATAATATAATTAAGAATAAACTATTATTTAAAATATATGAATTTGTGTAGGTAATATTTTTATGTATAAGAACTTAAAGATATAATTAAGCATAAAAAATAAAAGATAATAAATAAAAGTTGTAACTTCCTAACATTAATAAGAAAATTACATTAATAACCTTAAAACATCTTATTATGCGGTTATTCTCGGCAACTCAAAAGTTTCAAGAAACAACTTTTCCTTTTAAGAGAGTTATAGATAGATATTTTTTTTCGGTACAAGAAAGGAGACAAAACCTAATTACGATGAGACCCGCACGTTTCTGGGATACGGCACCCCTATCACGTCATGAGCAAGTCAAGTCTTCGCACCCGAGGGAGGATCGTCTAAAAGTTGAACTCCGCCCAGAGGCGGATTTAAGTGCTGATTAGGGGTGGGCATTGTCCCCCCAAATTTTTAAATATTTTTACTATATATATAGGCATTTTGCCAAAATTTTGTTCTTTTTTACCATGTACAACATATCAGCATTCAATTTATACATATACCCCATAATCATCACTTCTTATTAAGTGGTATATGTATTAAGAATTTTTAGCCATCTTATATTTTTGTAAGTAATTTTCACACTCTTTAATATGTTTTTATTTTATAATAGAGTGATGAATTAAACAGAATGTACGGAAAATATATGAAAAGTTGAAAATGAATAAATTTATATAGATAGTTAAAAAGGCATTGCAAGATTTATTAGTATATAGTCAATTGTTGATGAGTCTCTTGGTTTGAAATAATGTCGAACACAAATTTAAAATACTAAATTTCAAGAGTTATATCTATTGTAAAATATTTTTTATAATTTATGACTAGTTGGTCGGATGGTTGTGCACGCACAGTCGGCTCTAGTCCAGTCTATAATTATAACCAATATTTGTCAATATTTAAAAATACACATATCCATATTTTTGGCAAGTATAAACGTAAGAAAAAATACACACAACCGGCTCAA